TGCCGATACACACGTCCACTCTCCTCAGCAGGGAGGGTGTGCTGTGGAGCTTATATTCCCCCTCCGCCCGCATCCCACATCCCCTCTTATCAGCAGGAGTGATGCTGAGGAGCAGAGCTGGGAAGCAGCCCTGGCTGCTGCCCTGTCCCACACAATAGCGGAGTCTGCTACTCCCCGTCTCCTTGCCTGTTTGCCTTCCAGAGCCAGGCAGAGTCTCGCCATCACTATTATTTTGCTTTGTGTCAATATTATGACAACTAAAAGCAGGAGAACTGCATCCACATGATAAGCGGCCAGAGGCTCTGGGCTGGGTGTGGATTGGGTTCCAGTTTGGCAGGGGAGAGAAGCGCCCGGCAGCCCCTGCCCACCGACAGGCTGGGCTGGGAAAGCTGGAGAGCAGGGGCAGCAGCAGCAGAGCAGCAGCCGGTTTGTGCCTGTGTGCCGCTCCTCTTGTTCAGTGCTCACTGCCCTTTCCCCAGGGTAGATGAAATGTGATTAATGTGCAGAATATGCTTGATTCTCTGGTGGAAAAGTAACCTCTGTGTCTTTCCTGAGGAGAGGGCTGCTCAGCTCCTGCTGGGAGAATCTCACCCCTCCCACGGTTGCCATTCCCTGTGCCTCCAGCTGGTGCGGGCCCAGGCTGTTCTGTCTCTGCCCGTGGCAGAAGGTCATGCACACTGCTGCACCAGTCCGTCCTGCTCTCAGCCTTGTTTTTCCCAAGCACAGCACTCTACAGCTACTGGAGAGAAATTCCTGCAAGCTTTCTGGGACTTGAAGCTGCAGCTCCCACCCAGGGCTTCAGGAGAGGAGCTTGGGCAGAGCAGGGTGAGCTGTGCTGTGATTTCTGTCTCTGCCTTCTGCTCTGGTCTCTCAGGCACCTGGTGTGCACGGGGCTGCTGTTTTGGCACGGTAGCTGTGCTCGCTGTCGGGGCTGCTGACTGAACGCTTACCTGTAGGTGCCCACGTATGCTTGGGGCTGTGGTGTGGCTCTCCAGTGTGTCACCCTGCCCCAGGCCTGTGCTTTTCTGCAAACACCTGTGGCCTGGCCAGTCCCCACAGCGTGGGGCTGCCCAGGCACTGCCACTGAGCGCTGAGTGAGTGGCACAAGGTCTGCCAACACTGATGTGTTCCTGGAACGCTGGCTGGACGAGGGCCGCACGCACCCAAACCAGGGCTCGGGTCTGGCACTCTCAGGGACACCCTTCTTGGTGGCATAGTCCCTGCCCCCACGAGGGATTAGTGTCTGAAAGCAGCACCCAGGCTTGCCAAGGATTCCCCTTGCCTGGGTTCTTTGCCTGGAGTGCTCTCAGGCAGTCCTGGTGCTTATTCCATGTCCCTCCAAAACTCACGTCTGACCTAGGCCAGCCCGCAGTGCCCGTGACCCGTGGGGAACAGCCCCTGATGTCCCCAGGCATGGAGCTGGAGTGTCAGGTGCCTGCAGGTTTGGCTGTGGGTCCCCAGGGAGGCTGAGCTGCCCTCCCCAGGAACCCAAACAAACAGCAGAGTTCCTGCCACGTGCGGCCGGCGCTGACTAAGGCCGGACGCTTCCGCCTGCCGCGGGCCGGGGCTGCGGGCCGCCACCATGGGCGCCCACAGCCCGGCCCATTTCCCCCTATTGTCAGCCTCCCCCTCGGCAAACACATCCCCTGCACACCTGGGCTGGGACAGGCGTTGACGCCACCGCAGCAGCCGCCAGGGACAGGGGATGTGCTGCCGAGAGCATCTCGGAGTTGGAGCTGCTGCAGCACAGCTCTGAGGGGTCCTTTGGGTCCCAGGTGCCCAGGCAGCTTGTTTGCAAGCTGTTTCCTTGAGGAGCAGCCCTGAGTGTTCAGGGGTCATTGGTGCAGCTCTGCTTGCCTGCAAGGGCATTGGAGATCCCTGCATTTCTCAGAAGTCAGCAGCAATGGCCTGAGAGAGAGGCCTGGGTTACCTGTGCCAAGAGGCTGGAGCTGGGGATGCCCCAGCCAGCCCATTCCAGTCCTCATTCTCACTGTGGAGATACAAACTGCAGGTGATTGACCTGGTTTATCTCAGTGCTAGCATGGACTGACTCTCTGGTAGTGGAGCTTAGGAGACTCTCAGAGAAGAGATCACAGAAGCAGAGAAAGCAATCAAATGAAACAGTGAGGGTGAGACCTGGGGGCTCTGGGATGATGGCAGGTGTGAGGAGCCCGGTGCCCTACATCCTCATGCTGCTCTGACCTCAGGAGTCCCGTCACAATGCGGGATATAGGGAGCTGCTGATGGGGTTCTTGCCTACTGGGGTCAAACACAAGAGGGTGACTGTGCTGGGCACTGGATCATGGATGGACTGGCCCTTCCCTTGGTAGAAGCCTATAGCTTTGATGAGACTGAGTTATCTGTCCTAAATAGCAGCAGAACAAAAATAATGCCCTGAGGATTTCAGAGGTGTTCTCCGAGGGCTTCAGGGGTGACACAGGAGGCCCTGGCTGCAGTCAGTTTAAGAATGATGCAGGGACAAGTTTTTATTGGATTCTTCCATGTGAGATGCCAAAGGTGGGATTTTGCAGAGTATAAGATGCCCGTGAGAGAACTCTGATGCTGACATGGGGCTGTTTTATGGAAAAGATTACTTAGGAGGGACCTTGCCGGCAGCGAGCAGGGTGGGGTTTGCAGGGAAGAGCAGCTGCTTGCTCTGGGCTCCTTCAGTGCCCCTGGGCAGCCAGAGCCCCTGCTCTTTCCCCTCACCCTGAAGGAGGCATGGAGGTGACCCTGTTCCCTGGCAGGGCTGTGCCATGGCATGCTTGCAGCTGAGTGCCAGGGCTGGCCTTCCCCACCTGACAGCCGGGGCTCACCCACAGCAAGGACACTCCGCAATCCCACCCACCTCGGTAAGCAGGGCAGGGAGGCGGCACGGGCAGCAGTGCCATATCCGAGGGGATGCTCCCAGTCCGCAGCCACTGCGCGGGGCTCACTGCAGGGAGGCATTTGCTCTTTAAGGAAATGTCTCTGTTTGCCTCATGTCCCTGGCTGGTTCCTTGAGCTTCCTCTGTCCCTTCTCCCAAATGCGTAACTCCGCTCCCCAGAGCCGAGTGGGGGCGGCGCGAGGGACATGCTGGTGCATTTATAGCATCGACCTCCAGCCCTGTCCTGCAGCTGGGGAAGGGCACATTTGGCCCCCCAGGGAGGAGCATGGCACAGGGGAAAGCCAGCAGCTGTGACCCCAGCCAGCTTGATGTTTCTCCCATATGCAGGAGGATGTTGCTGATCACAGGTGACCGGTGTCCAAATATTATTCCTCTTCTCCTGTCTGTGCTCCACACTGCCTAGAAAGTGGATGCTCATCCCAGGAATGTAAACTCTGCCCAAGGCCTCTGAGGAAATAGCTTCAGACCAGGAACAGGACTGCACTCAGCAATTAAGGGCTGGTCCCCCCAGCCACACAGCTCCTGGGGGAGAGCCCTTTGCTCCAGCGCCAGAGGCTGGCCTTGTGTCTGAGAGGTGGCCCCAAGGGACCTTCCTGCAAGGACAGGCATGAGGCCCCGTGTGGTCACGGTCTTTGCAATAACAGGATTCTGTCTGTCCAGTGAGTTGGCAGCAGCTGCTGCTCAGGGCGGCCTCTGCTCTCGGGTGGGAGGAAATGCTCTCTTCACCCCATCTCACAACCAGCCCTGGGGCAGTGGGAAGGGGGTCCCCTTGGCCCAGGAGGGTCTGTAGGGTGGCAGAGGGAGACCACAGGCATGCTCCAGTCACCACTTTAAGGATGTTACCTGCTTTTTGCTGCCCATCCAGGAGAAGGAGCATGAACAGGCACTGCCACTGCCACAGCAGCCCCAGCAGCTGCTGAGTTGGTGCTGAGTGATGAACTGCAGCACACCTTCCCCGCAGTGGGGCTGGGAGTTCTCTGTGTTTATCTCTGCAGCATCTCCATGCTAATTCACCAGGCCTTGCTCCAGCAGCTTTGTGACACACTCAGGGGTACTAATGCCTAGAAGCTCCCGACTGAGCCCAGCTCCTGCTGGTGCCTGAGTCACTGCCACTTGCATGGCCCAGCAGGGCTGAGGACAGGCAGCTGGCATGCCCTGCATCCCCTGGGGACAGATCCCACAGGCTGGGAGCGGATCACTGGCATCCTCATGCTGCAGGGACAGACCTCACATGGTGTTGGGTAGGGAAGCCCTGAAGCAGCCTCCCCACTCTCCCAGGAGGACGTGAATCCTGGCACGGACACAGAGCTCGTTATTTCCCTGGGACCTGCAGCCCACGGGGGATCGTGTTGCCTGTCGGCATCTCATCACACCTCCCATAGTTCCAGCTTCCCTGGCCTCTGGGGCTTAAAAATAGAACAGAAAAGGCCAACAGAGCTCCTTTGGGTTGGCAGCAGGGTTTGACCCAAGACCTGCTGTGCCCCCTTCCCTTCCGAGCTGTAGACCAGAACCAGGATGCTGTCTCTGGGGCTGAGGGGGCTGGAAGCCCTTTGGCAGGGGTCCAGCGGCAGGGGCTGATGGAACAGGCACGGGGCAGCTTGAGGGGGAAGGGGGTGGGGGGACAGGCACGGGAAGTTTGGGTGGGAACAGGGCATCAGTAGAGGAATGAAGAGGATGGTGGGAAAGGGGCTGTTGTATGGGGTCAGAAGGCAGGTGGGCGCAGAAGGGGTGGATGGGCATGGGGCAGCGAAAACAGCAAGCCGAGAAGCCCAGCAGAGCCCCGGTGGTTCCCGCCGGCCGGGGATTCACCGGGCACGGGGCGGTGGATGGAAGCGCCGGGACAGCGCGATGGAGCGGTGCCCGGAGGCGGTGCGGGGGCGCTGGAGGAGAGGGCTCCGCCGCGTCCGGGAGCACCGGCCGTGCCCGCGGCCGCCGGGGCCAGCACCTGCTCCCGCCCCGCGGCGGGGCCGGGGCGGGGCGGCGGCGGGGCGGTGGCGGTGAAATACGGCGGCGGAGCGGGGCGCGCTCCCATGGCCCGGCGGCGGCGGAGGCGGCACGGCGGGGCCGGTGGCCCGGCGGCGGGGCGGCATGCCGGGGGCGGCGGGGCGGTAGTGGCGGCGCCGAGTCTGTACCGGGGCTGCGATGCGGCTGCTCGGCGCCTTCCTGCGGCTGCTGGTGGCCGGGACGCTGGGGGCACCGCCCGCCCCGGTGAGAGCCGAGGGGCGGGAGGGGGCTCGGAGCACGGGGCGGCCGCGGGGGCCGGGACGGCTCCTCCCGGCGGGGGGCGGCAGCGGGTCACCCCGTGCTGCCCCCCCAGAGCTCGCCTTTCTCTCCTGCAGGCCCCGGAGGAACGGGGGACCGCCAGCACGGAGTCTCCCGGTGAGTTGGAAATGGGCGGCCGCCGGTGTCGCGGCTGGGAGGGGGCAGCAACCCAGGGAAGGCTTCGCGCAAGGCCGGGGCGCGTTGGGTGCTACCCGGGGCTGTGTTACCTCTGGAGCCCCGTGGTGACAAGCCGGGGAGGTGGCCGGGAGCTGTGCCGAGGCTCGGAGCAACCCGACGCCCCCAGCCGTCCTCGGGCACCGGGTACCGCCGCGGGCCGGAGCGGAGCGCAGCCCGGTCCCGAGAGTGCCGCCCCTCCGGTGCCGGCATGCGGGGTGCCGAGTGAGAGAGCTCCGCTCGGCTCTCCCTGCCCAGGGGACGGCTGTCCGGCCGGGCGAGGTGCGGGGGAGTCCCTTGGCGGCGGAGCTCGGGGGTGAGCAGAGAGCCGGGGCAGGAGACCGAGCTGGCGGATAGAGGCAGAAAGAGCCGTCGGGGCGGCTGTGTGAGCTCCCGCACAGCGATGTGCACAGTACAGTGACGGACTTACTCGGAGCACAGAGTGGTCCTTTGCTTCCCTGTGCTCCGTGGTGGCTGCAGGATCCCCCAGCGGCTGCTGCACCTGCCCGGCTGGGCTCTGCCGCCCTGGGCGCCCCTGACAGTCCCTATCTCTTGCAGTCCTTACCTTTCGGGAGATCTGGAATCGTAGTTTCTGCCGGCCTCTGGAGCAGCTGGTGGACGTCATTACCGAATTCCCCAACGAGGTGGAGTACATTTTCAGACCCTCCTGCGTCTCTCTGCAGCGCTGCGGAGGCTGTTGTGGGGACGAGGGTCTCCGCTGCGTGCCCGTGGAGACGAGCACGGTCACCATGCAGGTACGAGCTGCTGCTGCTGCTGCTGCGGGGCCGGGGCTGCCGCACAGCTGGAGGGGGGCTCACCAGCGCCGGGAAGTGAGCTAGCTGCTTTGCATCCTCTAGGCATCGTAGCAGTGGGGCTAGCGAGGGAGAGGACCTACAACTGCTGAAATGCGAGCCAAGCCAGTCGGGTCCTTCTGCCTGCTCTTTGGGTTTGGCCCTGAGGTCAGGTGTCACCCCTGGTGGTACTGGCCTCACTCTCTCCTTCCCCGACTTCTCTCTGTGTGGTCTGTCTCGCTCGTTGCTGTTATTTTTCCAGACCTTTCCTGTCCTGTGGTGGGGCTGGGGGGTGTTCATTAGCCGTGGCTGCCTGCTGGGACACAGCAGGTACTACCCTTGAATCAAGGGAGAGTGAGGCTCTCCTCTGTCAAGTGATGCTCGGGGTGGTGCTGACATGGATGCCCCCACTCTGGGGCATGGTGAGCATGAAGGGCTGAGCCAGCCGAGTTTTCAGTCACCGCTGTGTGAGCTGTGAGATGCAGGGGGAGAGGTCCTGGGATGTTCAACTCTTCCCCATGTACCAGGCAGCATCTCTCCTCACACTGCAGCCCCTGCACTGAGCTGCCAGAGATCAGCCTGCTGATCCTGCAGGGACCAGGGAAATGCTCTGCTTTGCCATGGATGATGGACTAGGGAATGCCTGCAATAAACCACCAGTGATTTTTGTCTCTGAGGTGGAAAGTGTGTTGGACGGCAGGATGGCAAAAAGCTCTTAGTTGGGATGGATCAAAAGCCTGGTGTGAGCAGGAGGCAGCTCCCCAAGCACAGGTCTCCCTCTATGGGAGGGATCCTGCTGCTGTGTGCCGGGTGGAAATGCCAGAGGCATCCGCAGGGGCTATTGGGGATCACAGCAATGATAAATGTGTCTTGTAAGGCCCTTGGATGTCCAACCTGAACTTCAGGCTGGGCTGTGACATGTGACAGTGCAAGTCCTGTACCCCTGGGCTGGGGAGGCACTGTGGTACTGACTCCAGTCAGTTCCAACTCAGTGCTGTAGGAAGGGTCCAGGAGGAGGCAGCAGCAGTGGGATTGGCCTGAAAAACACGACTGGAAGGATATTTCTGTCAGAGAAGGGAGGTGTGCAAAGGGGTCAGATATGTGAAAATTATCCAGAAGGGTAGAGACTGAAAAATCTTTTCTAAGGCTGGGAACTCCCAAGGCCATGGGACTTAAATTAAAGCCCTGAAGACAAGGGGTGGCACTGGCAGAGCCTCCCAAGCTGCTGGGGCAGCTGGGCCTGGCCAGTGCTGCCTATGTGTGGAGGTGGACTCTGTTGTTGGAGGTTCCGAGGAACAGGTTAGACATGCATCTTCCCAAGAGCCTGGGGTGGCAAGGCAGTGGGTCCGGAATCTTTCCAGCCCCCTCCTGCTACTGCCTGAGAAGTAACCTTTGCTCTTCTTTCAGCTCCTGAAGATAAAGCCAAACGGGGAGGCACCCTATGTGGAGATGGCATTCACGGAGCACAAGCAGTGCGAGTGCAGGTAGGGACTCCTGGTTCCAGCACGAGCAAGCCTGCCAGCTCTCCCTGTGTGTGGAGCAGGGGCACCCTCTGGGCACCCTGGCTGGTCTGGCACCCTTCTTGCTGTCTTTGCACTGGGCCTTGCAGGTGCTTGTGGCCCTTGTCCAGCTGCAGGCTGCAGCACAGCTCTTCACCTGCTCCCCGCACACGATGGGGTGCGTGCCATTGTGAGCACAGGTCAGGCACCATGCACTGACTGCAGGCTGTGCTCCCCACCCCTGCAGCTGCCTTGGCATGCCTGGTCTATGCTCTTTAGCCAGGGGATCTGCCTGTGGGTAACAGAGCAAGGCTGGTGGCTCTGTGGCAGCAGTTTGGTGTGTGTTAGCATGTCCAGGGTGGTGGCTCTGTAGGGAGCTCCATGGCTTGGTATGCCTGGATGTGACTGTGGCCCAAAGAGAAAGCTCAACAGCTGAGTCTTGGGCCACCATTTAAGGGAGGCTACCCCATAGAGACCTGGGGGTACAGCAGAGGTTTACATCCAAGCCAACAAATGAAAGCCTAAAACACACAGTGCCAGCCTGGCCTGGATATGCAATGCTGGCCTGGAATGGATGCACAGCACCTGCCTGCCACAAACTGCTGGCACCTGTCAACCCCTTGGGGTGCTCTCTATGTCCCAAAAGTGGTGAAAGCCTGGGCGGGATGGGGCCCCTGCAATGCTGTGGGAGCAGCTCTGGTGCTGCCTGCAGCTGGTCCTTGCCATAGAGACTCCAGCACTGCCTGCATGGGGGGCCCTGGTCATCACTCTTCATCATGATCCCAGGGTGATTTAGTGTTGTGAAAACTGGGGGATGAGTGTCCTGCTGGGCAGCCATTAGACATGATCCTTTCCTGGAAGAAGATCCTGAGGATTCCCAGATTGGTATTCCCCTGCAGTTTTACGAGCAGCTGTACTGGAGCAGACCCAGCTCCACATGGTCTCTGTCTGTCAGTAGATGCAGAAGGCAGAGTGGGAAGAAGCAGATATATTACTTGCCTCCATCTCTGCTTCCAGCTATTTCCCATGCAGGGAATTTCCTAAGCCTTTTGTGCTTTTCCTCCCTAGGGTAACTTCCAGGGGATCTCCTATGAGCACTTGTGCAGGCTGCCCTCTGCAGCAGTTTTAGGTTTCTTCCTAATCTGCTCTCCACACCTGTACATCACTGCCTTTTGTAGTTAGTGCAGGAATGGCAGATGTCCTGGCTGTGACGCCAACAGGGGAGGTAGGTCATGGCTGAGAACCCACCACCGGAACTTTGCAGCAAATCCCCCATGTTTGTCACTCAGGATGCTGCACCTTGTTTCACTATGGGATGTGAAAGCTGCCACTGGGAGCAGCTAAGGCTGAGCTTGCCCTCTCCAGCCTCACTGGCAAAATGTCACAGCCCCAGGGTAGTCACGCAAGCCAACCAGCCCTTTTGCTGTCTCTGCCTGCAGCAATCAGCTCCTGACTGAGGGCTTGATAAGGTCAAGAGAAGAGATATTTTGTCTGTTTTAAACATGAATGATGCCAGACAAATTGTGCAGTGTATTGGGCATGTCCTGGGGCCGGCTCCTGCAGCTCAACATGCAGCACTGCCCAGTAACCATTTCTCTCTGTCATTTTCCCACTCTGCAGGCCCCGGCAGGACCTGATGAGGCTGGGAAGGTGAGTGACACCAGGGGCTTTGTTACTGGTTGGGATTGTGGGTCTCATCTCCCACTCATCAGCCCTTCTTGTGGTGCTTTCCTTCTGAAGGAGGAGGTCCAAGGGCCGAGGTAAGAGAAGACAGGACAAGAAGGGACGGAAAGACTGTGAACTGTAAGTGAGCAGGGGCAGGTATGGGTGGTGTCTTCTGGGTTAATTTTCTTGGGATGTGTCTTCATTAAGCATTTAGATCTTTACTGACACTGTGAGCAGTGAAGGGTTTGTGCAGAGCAGACACAGAAGTAAGCAGGAGGGGACAGTGGCTGTGGGGAAACAGGCCTCCTGCCGAAGACTCAGGAGGTACCTGGTAGTCCCCAGGCTCAGCAGCTCAAAGCTGGGCAGAATGGGGATGGATGGGCTTGGTGACTTGATGGTGTTTTGCTCTATTGCCATCACAGACCATGCTGGATTTCATGGATCCATGAATTTCCAGTTTCAGCCTCATCCTGCTGCCAGTTGTGTCCTTACTGCTGTCCTTGACTGATTGTTGTTTGGGTTACTCTGCTCTTTCCATCCTTTATCTCACTTTCTCAAACTCCTTGCTGTCACAGCACAGGCTGGACACACTTTGGAGGTGTGACACCTGTGGCCAGCAGTTTGCTCTGGCATTCCCCCCTTTTGTGTGGAGGCTGCTGTTGGGGCTCAGCAGTGGCAGCCCCACCACCCTCACTGCTCCCCCCGAGGAGGCTGCCTGCAGGCCCTGCCCTGCACTCCTGTGTCCCAGGCACAAAGGGGGCCCAGGGCAGAGCTGGTGAGGTCCCGTGCTGGCAGTGCTCACCCCGTGCCCCGCTCTCTTTGCAGGTGTGGCACACCCCGCAGGTAGCCCCTGCCCTGCCCCAGCCCCGCTCCCACCATGGGCCGAGCCAGCTGCCCTTGTCCCCAGCACGGGGCACTGTGGAGCCGTGTCCCTCCAGGACTCCAGCACGGAAGAGCTGACTGTTACTCCTGCTTGGCCCTGCTGGGAGCACAGCCTGGCACCAAGGACTCCCTTGCCCCATCTGCCCCACTGGCAGCAAGAGAAAAGGACTTGTGACCAAGCCTGGGGCTGAAGATGAGGAGCTCAAGCAGCGTGCTGCTGTTTGAGGACATTCTAGGGGCAATGAGGAGCCAAGCTGGTGCATGTGCTGCTGGAACTGGCTGGGGAGGACAGCATGATGTGGCAGTGAGCGGAGATGGCTCACAGGGCTGCACCTGCAAAACTTCTCTGTCCTGCCAGTGCTCTGCAGCTGGGGAGGAAGGAAACCTGGGGCAGGCAAGGCTGTAGGGCTGCATCCGTCCCAGTTTTGGCACGGGGCAGGTGCCAGGGATCTGTTCTGCTTGGGAACAGAAGGGAACTGGGCTGCTCATGTTTTCACAGCTGCATCTCAGCTTTGCCCTGCTCAATAAAAGCTAGTCAGACATGGGAGCTGGCAGCTCCTGTCTGCTTTCCAACAAGGCAGGGAACTCCCCCATGGGCACCCACTCAGGCTGGAATAGGGCTGTGACCCAGAGTTTGTCCCCATCACCAATCCTGCAGCACCAAGGGATTGCCCTTGGTGTGATGCTGGAGATGGGCAACCAGCAGGTTCCTCCCTGGGCTGGGGGCTATCCTTGTGCTGGAGTTCAGCTGGGTACTGGGAGACCCTTGGGTGAGCTGCCCTTCCCCTCCACAGCAGTGTGGGACTGGTACCTCTCCCTGTTCACCCTGCCCATCCTGTGCTCGCCCATTCTCTTTTTTTGTTTGAAAGCTTCAAACAAAAGACCGGAGGGCAAGATCTGCAAAGGTTTCAAGGTTATCCTTACATGAAGGGACCTGTGGTTTATCCTGCTCTGAGGAACAAGAGTGGCGCCTAACTCCGCAAGAACTGGGGTCCAAGGTGGCTCCTTGCCACACCTGACAGAGCTGCCTGTGGTAGGGGTTACATTATGATGCTCCAAGCCATAATGCTGGTGTTGCCTGAGGCTGGGGACATGGGGACAGGGCAGATCCCTGCCAGGGGAAGCTGGAGGTGGGTGTTGAGGTTATGTGAACCTGCATACTGCCATCAAATAGCAGGGACTGTGTGAGTTGTCATTGTGCAGCTGGACATATCGTTCAGGAGCTTGCTGGATCCCTTTTGGATCCCATTTCCAGGCATCCACAGTATCCTGGAGCACAGCCTACATGGCCTTTGCCTCAAAAATAGCCCATGAAGTTCCTCCTTCACTACCTCACAGGTGAGGGGAACTTGCTGCTCCCCTTCCCACATCACTCAAAGTCTGTGTGGACCATGTGCTGGCCTGGTCCACACAGGCTTTCCCTGTCACTGTGTGTCATTTCTGCCTGGCTGGCTCTGCTCTGAGGCCAAGGAGAACCAAGTGCAGCACTTGAGGATGTATGTGATGGTTTCTGTATTGTCTTTAATACCCTGGTAGTATTATATGTTTAAAAAAAGGAAGCTACATAAATCAAGTATGTTAATTAATAAAAATAAGTTTATCAAGACTCATAATTAGGATTAAAACAAATTCAAACACACTAACACACAGTGGCTTTTCCTGTACACAGTTCCTGGTGTCTGGTGTCTGCATTGAGGTGTTTCAGGCAGCTCTGCCCATCAGACGTGGCAGGGCCAGACCCCTGCCTTGCACAGACCCCTGCCTTGCTTCTCTCCCTCTATCACCTGGGTGCCATGTGTGGCCTTGTCCCCTGCTCCTCCCATGGGGTGTTGGATAGCAAGAATGTGAGTGCTGGGAGGGATGTGGCTGTCCTACTGCAACCATGATGAGCAGAATAGCTGGGGCAGGTCTGGAGCAAGGGGAAACATCACTTGCACAAGAGGTTTGGGAGCTGCAGCTCCAGCTCCATGGAGGTAACAGGAACCTAATGAGGCCCAGCCCATGAAGTTCCTGTGATTGCTGCAGGCATCACATGCCCAGGGCAGTGCTAGCTCCTTTCCCTGTCCCTGCCAGAGGGGAGAGTCCTCAGACCCTCCTCACTGCAGGGTGGCAGGGACTGCCAGCAGAACCTCCCACCCAATGGAAGGATGAGGATCAGGGTGGGAGACTGCTGCTCTGAGGAGCAGAGGCTTCCTGGCTTCAGGGCTTGTGTCCAATACCCATGTTTCCTCTCGAGGGGACCCACCACTGTCTGCCTGTCCCTCTGTGTGGTCCCTGTTGTAGCTCTTTTTATATCACGAGCTTCTGGGAGCTCTCCTTGGCCACAGCAGATGTGTGAGCACTCTGACAAGATCAGCTATATCTACAGAACCCCATGTCTCCAGGTACTACCATGCAGGGCTGTAGGTGCCCTTGTGAAGGGACCCGGACATACCCCAGCCCCAGAGACAGCAGCATCCACCATGGACAGCAGAAAACCTGTTCCAGCCCCAGTGCTCCCAAATCCCTCACCCTTTCTCTGCTGAGTACCCCTTGCAGCTGTCCCACAGAGCCCAGGAACAACACGCCACTGGGTTATCAGCGTCCCGGGGCTCCCTGTGCCTTCCAGCCTTACAGGGCAAAGGTTTGTTTAAAAAGGCTTTAGGAGCTGCAGCAAGATGGTTTAGGAGGATAGTTATAGGGAGACAAAACATAAAGCAGCCTCATGCACCAGGAAAAATATTTTACATTTTTTGGGAAGTAACTGTAAAGGTGATGTGGGCATTGGCCCAGAGATGTAGCATTGTAGCTGGTGAAGCCCTGATGTTGAAGCTTCCGTCACCTCTGGTGTCCCTGAGCACAGGCTGCCATCAGAGCTCTGCTACCCAGCAGTGTCTGCCAGCCATGCCCAGGCAGGTCTCCCACATGTCTCCATGCAAATAAAGAAACACTGAGGTCTTAACTTCATGATTGCAAGTCTCTTGCACCCTCACAAAATTTGGCATAATCCTGCCTGTTGAAGCCAGTGCTGTTTGCAGTCTCAGCATATTTTAAGCTTTTGCCAGCTCTCATGTGTCAGTTTCAGCTTGTGAGAAAAGAGGCAGCTCTCCCTCCTCTCCCTGCTCTTTGTCTGTGCTGGTTCTGCTTTGGCAGTTCCCACTTCCCAACAACGAGCACAAGCTCTTCAACAGGTTAATCTAAAAGTAATCCCCTAAATTCAAGGCACTCTATCCAGCACTGACATGCAAACCTGGAAGCCCACAGGTAAAGGCAGTTGTGCCTCAGGGCTGGTACAAATCTTCTTCCCCTGCAAGGCTTTTCCTCTCAGGAGCATCCTCGAGGCACTTCCTGCTGATGCCTTTGACTCACTCTCTTATGGCCACTCCAGAGATGTTTAATGAAGAACTTAAATGAGTTTTGTACCCTCCTGGTGACTCCTCTTCCCACATCTCTCTGCCACCATCACCTCAATATCCAAACCACTCTACAGATAGATTGTGCTGGATTTTGTGGTTTTCCAGCGCTCTGTCCTCTCCAGGCCCACACAGATCTGCTGAAGCCAGGCAGGTGAGTAGTGCCAGCAGCACCCCTGCTCTCATCCCTGGCTCTCCTTCACTTCTTGCCTGCTCAGACTTTTCACTTCAAGGAGGAGCCTCCAGTCCCTGGTGGGAATTAAAAGACCACAAAGACTGTGGGGTGTAAATAGGCTGGGCAGAAAAAATTGGTCTCTGTTAGGCAGAGGCTGGAAAAGGAACATGGAAGTGTTTTGAGAAGAAACCAAAGAACCAAGCACATCAATTGTGTTTGGGCAGCGAGTTGTCTTACAAAGCAGATGGCTTTGCATCCTCCTAGACCTGCCCTCTGAGGCACAGCAAATACTTTCATACTCCCAAAGAAATGGTCTTTGTAAGAGAGGCAGTGTTTGGTGCTGGATGCTGAGCTGTGGGCACAGGCTTTACTGCCCTGTGCTGTTGTTAACAGGCTGGGCTGTGCACAGGAGCTGCCCAGGGCACCTGAGCCCAGGGAGATCCCCTACAAGTGTGTGCAGGGTAACCACAGGCCTGGCACAAAGGGGGGCCCCCTCTGCCAGCCCCACAGCAAGTGCCAGGTCCAGCAGGGGCTGGACACAATGACTGACCAGGCTGGTGTGGCTCTGATGGCACAGCACAGGGACAGCTTCCCAGAATGAAAACCCCCATCCTAGGATCATTTCCTGCTGTAGTGGGACATGTGCATGGGTTAGCAAGGGATGGACAAAGATGCAGGGGCCTCCCTCTTCCCAGGCAATCTTAGCACAGTTTTTCCGAGGGTGTCCCTTAGCTTTCATCCCAGCCCTTCTCCCTTTGCAGGTGCCCTGCCATGCCAGTGGTAAGGAAGTTATCTAGTCTGGGACCCACCATCCCACAGACACAGCAAACCAGCTGGCCAGTTGGTAGTAACCACTTGAGCACTCCTGGTTCAGCAAATCTCCTTCACTAAGAAGTGCAGTGATCTAGCAGGCAATGCAAGGCCTCCTGGCCTTCCAAGAAAAAGCCAGGCCAGGAGGGCAGGAATACATGTTTCTAAGAGATGCCAAAGACTGGTATTTTTCATACACAAAGCATTTTTTGCCACCAGCTGGGATATCGATTACGCTGTCACTTTGCTGCACCTGAGTGCACTTGTGCTGATCTTCCCTGTGCTGGACATTTAGAATAAGTTGGAAAAACCCAAAGAGTCTGCAAGAGCTGGTAGAAGGTCAGGCTGAGAGCTCAGTGTCAGGGCCAACGGCACTCACCTGAAAGAGGAAATCGGGAAGGGCCAGGGTACCCTGGGCTGGCCATGATGAAGTGGCAAGATATCACCATTGTAACTGTGGCAGTGGGGAGCTGTTGGAATGGGTGCACCTGTCGGGTGGACGGCAGCAACAAAGGCTAATTAAAACACAGCTAATTAAGCATTATGGGAGGAAGGAAACACGGCTGCGAAGGCACAATTTAATGAACGAGAGCTTGGTTAATTAAGGACAATTAATGGTGAATAAGGATGATAATAAAGCAAGTGGAGTAACGCTTACCGCGCGTTAACGGGGAGGAGGAGGGCCTGCCTCGGGCGGGAGCGGGACCCCGGCAGGGGGACCCCGCCACGGACCCTGCGGGGGCGATGATGATGATGATGATGATCTCATCCACGGCCAATCAGCACGGCCCGCCCCTGCCGCGCCCCTGCCGCTCCGCCCGGCGGCGCCGGGGGATGCAGGCGGCGGCGCTGCCCGGGCGCGGTCCGGCGGGGCTGGGGGACCGGGGCCCGTGCCGGGGGGGCCCCGCGGGTGAGCGGAGGGGCCGGGGCGGGCGTCGCTGCCCGCTGGCGGTGTCGCGGCGGGGCCATGAGCCGCGCGGAGGCCGAGCCCTGCTCCCGGGCCCTGGCGCAGGCCCGCGTCTACCTGGGGCAGCTGCGGGGCCGCGTGGTGCCGGCGGGGCCCGAGGGCGGCGGGCGCCGGGATTACCTGGTGGAGGCGGCGCGGCAGCTGCGGCTGGCGCTGGAGCGCGACGTCAGCGAGGACTACGAGGAGGCCTTCAACCACTACCAGAACGGCGTGGACGTGCTGCTCCGCGGCGTGCAGGGTGTGTGCGGCCTCCCGGGGGCGGCGGACCGGGGCATCCCTCCGGGGACACCAGCCGGGGCTCCGGGGCATTCATACCTGTGAGAGGGCCAAGGTATCCCTGCAGGGAGAACGACGAGGGGACCGGGAAATCCCGCTAGGGGGTGTGTTGAGGGCACTGGGGCATCTGTCCAGGGAGTGCATCCCTAGCGGGACGAGGGCGAGAGGGCTGGGGCATCCCCGGGGGACTGTGGCCCGTCCTTCGGGGCCGAACCAGGCCCCTCACAGCCACCCTTTGCCCCGGCCGCAGTTGACCCCAACAAGGAGCGGAGGGAGGCCGTGAA